GCCCAGACCGAACCCCCCAATCCGCCTAGCAGGGCCCAGAGCGTCCCAAGATTCCCCGGACCGCCCGCCAGGGCCCCACCACGGCGCAGCAGAGCCAAGCACCACCCGGCCCGCGGCCCAAGAGAGGAGGCCGCCCATACCCGCCAGGGCCACCCGAACCCCCCCATGATGGGTCTTCCCCCCGGCGGGCCACCCCACCAGCACAGGGCCAGAGACAGAGAGTTAGGGGGGGCCCCTCAGCCCCCATCCCCTCCCTGACCCATGTTGGTGTGAAGTGTGCATGTACATGTGTGAGAGAGTTGTGTGTTTATGTCTACTATGCATTAAAATTAGTGGGTGCAGTTCGGGTATGAGGGCCCCACCACTGGCAGATGGCAGAGTCCCCCATCCCCATCCCCCTCCCCGCACCCCCACAGCCTGGGTTCTGATTGTGGAGTTTGCATGTCCTCCCTATGCTGTGTCTGTGTGTTCTATATATAACATAAAAACAAAGTGTCAAAAGAGTACCTCTTTTATTTCATAATTTGTACAAGACACTGCAATCTACAGACCAGTCATGATATTGCTTCAATTAAGTGGAACTCTCTATGCCTTCAACAGTACTGAAAAAAAAAACATTCATAAAATTTATCTCCCAGACTACATCAACCCATATCAGTTACATGGCACTCTTGTTTTGATTTAAATGAATTACAATAAGCCAGTTTCTTAGTAATATCCATACATTGTTTACCTTCTTTGTTATTTCCATTAATTCTCTCATCCTTAGGTGACTGGATTAGAATAATTGTTTTATAAATGTGTAGTGACTCATCTCATCTCCCCATCTGGCTGTCACTCTGTTTTAGGCTCCATACTATAACCAGCACTTTGACTCTCTGCTTCTTCATTTAAAGCACAGGGAATCCTATCTTTACTAAAAGAGCAGTGACTCTCTACGTTTTCAGGTAAAGCAGTGGGAGTCGCATCTTCAGCCGGAGAGCTTTGAATCTGTACTTTTTCACTTAAAACTCTGGGAATTGCATCTCCACTCTGAGAGCTGTGACCCTCTACTGTTTCACTTAAAGCCCTGGGAATCCCATTTTCACCCAGAGAGCTCTTACTGGCCTCTTGATCAGCTGGAGCATTGAAACTCCTTTTTTCCGTAGCTGGATTGATGTGACTCAATGCCATTTCCTCATGGACATTGCCACTGCCCAGTTGTTCATCTGAAGTACTGTAAGTCTTTGACACTTCATCTGTAAGACCTTGACTCTCCGAATCTTCAGTTAAATTAATATGACACATGACCTGATCAACAACCACTTTAGGACTATCCATATTTTCACATACAGTTTCTGGACTTGCTGCATCTGTTTTACTGTGATTTGTCACATGATTATTATGATTGCCATCCATTGAGTTTTCTATTAGGTTAACCAGTTTAAGTCCCTGCCCCACTTGCTTAACTGGTGAAATTGCCTCATCTGTTTTCTCTGCAGTCTGCTCTGTCTCCGGAATACTGAGCTCCTTGTGAGTTAGTTCTTTTGCAGCTGCTTTGGTCTCATTGTCTGCACTTTCAACATGATATTTCTCTGTTTCTCTTTCTTCGTCTACAACGTCTGTCTCTGAGGGGTCAGAAGTTTCCATGCTTTCTTCCATTGGGACGTCCACATTAGCTGGGGATCCTTCAGACATATAAGGATTGCAATCCACATGTCTACGTGGATGTTTTCCCTCTGCGTAGCTTTTCTGATCCTCTTTCTGCTTAAGGCGCCTCTGTATCCTTCTCGGACACCACACAAACTCTTCTCGGGGTCGGTAGTGCCGGAATGCAAATTTAAGCAGTTCCTGCCGCTTCTGCTTATTGCGGATGGAGAAGATGAAGTACTCTATCACGCTTCGCTTCACATTCTCAAGGTTTCCCTTGACGAGAGTCTCGTGCAGGAAGAAGCGAACCAGCGGTGCCTGGTATTGCTTGTAGCCCAAGTCCCCCAGGCATTTTAGAATACGGGTGATGCGCAAGTTGTTGTGGGTGTTTCTACCAGCAATAATAATAATAAAAAAACATAAATAGTGTACATGAAACAGCACAGTACAGTACTGTGTAAAAGTCTCAAGCAGTAAAAGACAATGACGTTTAGATGATCTGCCGGTATGGTGTGATATTACACCTGTCAAAGTGTCAGGTTAGATTTAAAATCATCCCAGTGTTTACAACAACCTTCCAATACACCGATGTGTTTTTTGCCTCGGCCACTACCCCACCTTGTGTGGCAAATCAGTACCTCATTGAGTTATTTAACTAATTAAGTTAGTACTGTCTATGAAGTACACTGCCACACAGAGGCAAAACCCCATAGCTGCATATTTTATCAAAACTGGATTATGACGCATAAGACATTACTGTATATCTAATACAGGAAGATGGCATTTTCCCCACAATAACCTCTCTTTAAAAATCACATAACTTTCCTTTCATGGATCCTCTCTGAAGCACACATTTCTTGAGGAATTAACTTTTCACTGACCTGTTAAGATTTTTAAATCGTTCTTTCCAGTTTTTTGCACGTTGCACCTCTCCCGAGGTCTCATTGACCAGCTCTATGCCATAGAAGTCCAACATGAGTTTGTATGACATCTTCAGTCTCTTCATTGCATCTTCATTGTCACAGAAGTCCTTATTGGCCAAGAAATATGATATTTGCATTACACTGTGTCAGTATGAGTGAATGTATATACTGCCCACTCTTGCAACATACCTTAATCTCCTCCTTGGTTAGTTCATAAGCAAGATAATTCATTCCTGCTTCTTGCAATGGAAACAACCTGTGAAATATTCATTTTATATGTAGGATATTCATAGGTTATTTAGACTTAAATACAATTTGTGCAGCTTTGCATATAGCAAACTTGCATTGTCAATACACCAAAATTTAACTTCAAATTCATATCAAAGATATCAATCAGTCAAAGAATTACTCCTGACCCTTATAGGATTTGTTCGATCTGGGTTTACACACAAGAGTAATAGAGTAATTGCAGACCAGTAGTGTGCTCTCACTGTGTAGTTCCTGCACACTTTATGATCGGTAAGATGTAAATATCTTAACAGAAATAATGTATTTCTTACCACTGAATGTAGGAATGAACATACTCAAGTCTTTCATAGTCTCCCCACCACTCTGTGTGAAAATCCTGAATCATAAAATCTGGAACAGCACATCAAGGGAGATTCGGCATTTGTTATAATCAAGGAAGGGCTGCACTTAACAATGTAGTCTTTATAGTCACGTACCATCAGGAGAGCTGAGTATTTTGCCGAGGTAAAATTTTAAATTCATCTTGTCCTGGAGAGGAAACACACTGTGAGACATGAAGCCCCCGGCACTGTGTGGCTTCAGTTTCATCGCTGTTTTGGTTTTGACTTACGGTCATGCATTCGTAAACAAAGAAGAAGTACGTACTGTATTTGTCCTTCTGCAAGGTTCCTGGAAATGAAAAGGAAAAAAAGCTGGATCCTTCATTTTGCATAAGTTAAGAGTAGATGTAGGTCTTAAGTTTTTGCATATCTCATCCAAGGTAGTTTTAGTTTTTAAAAAGAAGGAAGCCCTCAAATGAAAACATGCAGCGCAAAAAGTATTAACAACAATGGTACAGCTTTAATACACATTTTAAGTCCTAGACCATAATAATAATAAAAATCTAACATGTCTCTCATTTGCCTTGTAGCAGTGTTCATCTGTTCAAGGAGCAGACTGTTAACTATTAGTGACCAGCATTTTGAACTTGCCCTGTTGCCCGCATTCTTATCCTTAGTTGGTAATTGCATTTGTTCGCTGTTTTGTTGTGTGTATTTGTTACCCGATTGTGTACATTTTTCCTGTGTCTTAGACCCCTTCTGGTTCCTTGTTTTTCTTAAAATGAAGGTGCTTGTCCTGTTGGAGCCACAGTGTGGATTGTTCCTTGGTCCTTCACCAAAGACCCTAACCCACTAAACCACACACCACCCTGCCTTCTGAATTTGACTAACATGAAGAAAAGTGATATAATTTTTAATTAAAAATGTATTCATTTCTACACTTGTGTGGGACAAAAATAAAAACAGTAGCTTTTAACTTGCTGTTTTTTTTTTCATAAATATGTCTGATGTCTTACTTGATAAGTGACTGGATTGATGTTCTTTTTCTGTTTGTTGCCAATGTCAAACTTACTGGGTAGTCGTGCCTGTAGTTCTGCATGTCCCTCGCCGCAGATACATTTCTCGTGTAATGATAAAGCCTCTGAAAAGCAAAGCACAAACGAAAAAGTTTCTTGAACTTTGGCGTGCATAATGTTAAATAACAACTAAAGGCTGTACTATGCATATTCATAACATGAAATGGATACAGTTACTGTACCACAGCAACTCCAGCGCCTCCCTAAATGATTTGGGCTTTATCTTAGTGGCTAGGAAGCTCATTGGACGGGGGACGTATCTCCTGATGTATAGAAGCATGTATGTTGCATGTTAAACGGACAAGGTCAGTTCTCATCATGCACCTCTTCTGCTCTGCAATGGGCAGCACTGTAATACATAATATGCAGATTAATGACCGACCGATACATCTGCGTACCAATATAATCGGCCGATATGATCTATTTGCAGTATATGGCAATTAAAAAGTAACGGGAGAAGGATTCGCCATGTTAAGACTGTTGTCGTTGCGTACTTTGTCCATCAGAGGGCACACTGCAACTCCATATCGCCAACACACGTTTTTTATTTTTATACATTCGACCGTTATTTATCAATACTTTCATTTATTTTGTTGTACTTAAGTTCACTATTTATGATAATAAAACGATTTTTAAATCCTTAAAATAAGAGTCAATATCAATACTGGGAAAATCCTGTACTGGTGAAGTTCTGTGTATATGTGTATATGTTGGAGTGAATATGTTTGTGTGCGTCTGTGTGTATGTCTGGCTGCGTGGGTCTGTGTGTATGTCTGGCTGCGTGCGTCTGTGTGTATGTCTGGCCGCGTGCGTCTGTGTGTATGTCTGGCTGCGTGTGTCTGTGTGTATGTGGGTGGACACTATGTTACAGTAGCATCCCATCCAAGGTGCTGCCCTGTGCTTCCTGGGACAGACTCCAGTACCATCACAATGCTGTACTGAATAATCAGTTATGGAAGATGAATTGGTGGATGTTACGAGGCAAAGGGTTTATTCTGCCCACAAGGCAAACAGTCAGTGCTGCTAGACTGCTGTGGAAGGTGAGCATGACTGGGAACGGGGATAAAAACGGTTCCACGTGAGCCGAACCAATAATACTGAATATGCTGGCCACAGGTCGGCATTGTGGGGGGCATTTCTAGGGTTATGCACCCCCAAAGAGCCATTGCTAACCCCCCTCCCCAGTGCCACCCACCAAGAACACCATGTTCTTTTTGTTATTTAAGGTGCTCATCCTAATAGCTATAAATAAGGTCTGGGGCCACTGCCTGCCTGCCCGCTGGCTGGTCAGTGCTCCAGGGCGGCTCCAGGGCAGCGCTGGGGGGGGGCAATGTCTTAATCGGACAGAATGAGACACTTTAATTTCCATTACCACCAGACAAACCCTTTTGGGGGCCGCCAGAAGCGATAAAGATACTCAGCAAACTGTTTCACCAAACTTAGAAACCTATACACACAGCTTTTCATATTTAGTCACCAACTGTAGGCAAACAAATGTTATACTCTGATGTTGAAGTGAAACAACTGGATGAGTCTTTCAATCAATGAAATAAATTAGTAAAAGCACAAGAAGAACTGAACTAATTAGCCAAGCACAGTAGCCTCAGTTTTAAAGTGGTTTGTAAAACCTGAAGTAGCTCATAGTTTCCCTCCTGGCATGGTGGTCACCCTATCAGCATCTAGTTGTCTCATTCTTATTTATGCGTCTACACGTTAATTTGTTTATTAATAAGCCATATTAACATTTCGTCTACCTGTTTTTCATTTTTATTCTATTTATTGTTTTGTGTATTTTTGTCTTGACGGTATGTTTAACAGTGCACTTCGTGCCAGCACCTGCATCAAAACAAATTCCAAATTGTTTTTCGTACATGACAAATAAAAAGATTCGGATTCTGGCTACACACCCTGGCGGTGTCACTCCTCGCTGTCTCCTTCTCCCCGGCTTGTTCGTCTCCGCTGTCGCCGGATTCCTCCTCCCAGGTTGAGTCGAACTTGCACTCCAGCTCGTCCTCCACGTCCGACAGGCGGTGCATTTTCGAGTAGATGGCCGCGACGGCTTTTCGGAGAAGGCGAAATGGGTGACGAATAGGGTATAAAAAGTACTGAACCCAGAGAGCCAGCAACCTGAAAAGGAATGTACCCCACCCCGATCTCATGATTCAGAACAGAAACCGAAAGTGGAATTCCGGTGGCAGAAATGAAAGTAAAAATCATTGTTTATGATCAAGTCCAAACAGAAAAACACGGAATATTTTTGCAGTTTTGTTCAAAGCGGTGCTTTTTTGTTTATTCAGAATTATTTTATACTTTTGGAGATATAGATTTTATTTCGTCATTTAAGAGGAAGGCGATCAAATTTGACGTCGTAGACCATGATTATAAAGTTCAGTTCCTCTTTCTGGATGCCATGGATGGAGTTTCGGGGGAGGGACAACGAGCGGCAGTTAAATTGCAGTTAATTGGCATTGCACTGTTCTACAGTATGCTGGCACTTCTTACTGTGCATGAGCTGATTGTTGGTACCCTATAGGTAGACAAAACAATAGGTTATGCTAGCTTACATCAGATACTGTGTTAATACATAAGGTAAGCAGGATGCATGTTTTTTGCCCCTCCAAACATCAAACTCCGCCTATGACTTAAATGTACATTAATAGGTTGGTTAATGTTCAGTACTCAGCTGAACTAGTTGTTCCTGTTATTCTGCATCATTTCGCTCCTCGGTTTCCTCCTTAATGACACTGTCAATGCACATGCCTTCCTTTTTGACCCATGGCTGGGAGTTTTTATTAACTAACTTGCTTGCTCATTACCCAGAATCCCTTAGTGTATCACCCAGAGGTCATGTTGTCACAAGTTGTGCTGTTATACCATATACCCTTAAACTAATCCCTGAGTTTTTTTCTTTTTTGTGCTTTTCACAATTTTTCACCACTCTGCGGTGGTTTTACTACACTCCATTTACATTACTTCATGACTGTGCTTTAATATATCATACCAGATCTTTATTTGTGTGCTGCAGGAGCTGCCATTTTGCCTTGGATCCTTTGTATCACAGCATGCATGTTTCTAAACTTGTTTATTCTGGGGTCATGCTCACATAATAACAGTAATGATTTTCCATGTATTCATAATAAAACTGAGAAATCCTTATTCATCTTCATGTACAAAGTGCTAATGTTAAGCTCTTTCTCGCAGTGCATTTGCTTCTTATGGAAGTGCTCACTGGAATTACAGTGTTACTTTTCAGTGCATCTTTCTCATCCATTGAATTCATGTTCTGTGTAGACTGGCTATAAATAATATGTAAACCTAGATAAGGGAGCATAAATGCAAGGCAGCAGGCACACTGGAAACGAGCGGATTTTGGTCCCGAGCAACACAGGCAATGACACTGCATTCTTTATGGAGAATGTGCACCATGTGACTGGTCCGGGTGAGAAGTGAGCTGTGCTGCCTCATTGTACCACAGGAGCCTCAGCTGCACTTGTCTCATGCTAAGCCTAAGGGTCCCAGTAGGTAGCAAAAATGTGGACTGTCGGGCAGGGAGCTGGGAGGCAGCAAAAACATTGGACCATTTGTGGGTCCCCGAGGACCAAGTTGGGAAACAGTGCAATCTAAAGACAAAAAAGTGCAAATTCAAAGTGTTTCTCTGCGTGGGGGTTTTACCCCCTGAGCCCTAAATGGCTAAGCAACCCTGTACTACATATTACACCATTCTGCAAAGCATATGTAATGGTTTCTGTCCACAGTAACATAGAATAGACTTGCAGTGTTTGATTCATATCACATCGGCCTAGATTTGAAATGAAACACTGTGGGTTCTAGTGCATGTGGCATTTTAAAAGATATGATCAATTATATAACTATAAAAATCAATGTTTATTTATGGTTGTAATTGATTTTACGCCACTGCTTGCTATGAGCTGTGAATGTCACTGGGTGCCCTCTGTCTACTCTGGACCAGAGCTATATTATACCTCTTTTACACAAGTGTTGCACATTTTCTTTTTCCCCAAATAGAAATGGTACACAGTGATGCATGTGCACCTATGCTTCATTAGAGCCCCCCGGCCCTTAGAAAGTTCCTTCCCTTAATGACTTGCTCTCTTGTTCTTTACTGTAGTCTGAAAGGGGAACTTAAGTGGTACTTAGTTATGGACAAATACATACATGAACCTCAGCCTGTGTAGCGGTTTCAGTTCTGATCAGCCACAGAACACCCTTAGATTCCCTCTCAGAATGGACTCAAACTGCAGAACTCCTCCGACGGCTCTTCATCTGCCTCCAGATTACATCATGGTTCGAGGAGCTCTCGCTGTTTCCTCTGGACAGAATTCACCATGAGTTTTTATAATAGATCTCATCTGTTTCCTTCGACTAACCTCATGTCTGCAGCGTGCTTGTGCATCTTTACCTACTGCTGTTGGGTGCTGTTTTTCAAGATTCAAAGCGTTTATTGTCATATGTACAGTAGAAAGTGCATTTCTCCGTGCAATGAAATTCTTACTTTGCTGTCCACACAAAAATGCCGAGGAACAATATAATAGAAAAAATAGAAAAAGAAATACTTTTATGTGTAATGTGCAAAAGAGCTTAATGTGCAAAAAAATTACAGTATGAGGTAGTATGGTAGTATGGTATGGTAGTAAGGTAGTATGATGTCCATTAATCATACTCCTGTTGGCTGCTAAGGAGTCTGATGGTAGTGGGGAAGAAGGAGTTGTTAAGTCGTACACTTCTGTACCTCCATCCTGAGGGCAGAAGTGTGAATAGTCCATGTTGGAGGTGTGTGGAGTCTTTGAGGATGGAGGCAGCTCTTCTCTGGACTCTGTGGTGGTAGCTGCTCTGCAAAGAGGGCAGTGAAGTCCTGATGATCTTCTCCGCAGTCTTCACCACTCTCTGCAGGCGTTTGCAGTCCATAGCTGTAGTGCTGCCATACCATTCGGTGATGCAGCTGGTCAGTGTGCTCTCCACGATGCAGCTGTAGAAGTTGCTGAGGATCTTGGTTGACATACCAAACTTCCTCAGCCTCCTCAGGAAGTACAGCCGCTGTTGAGCCTTCTTGACCAGCTGTGTGGTGTTCATATTGCTAGCCTACACCCGAGAACTTTTTTCAACACACTGGACAAAAAATGTAGAGAAAAGTAATACAAGACACCTGATAATTAACAATAAAAAAATGCTCATCAGAAGGAAGATATATTTCCATTATGCAAGCATGGTATGATATATGAATGTCTAATCTTTCAAATATGACTTGTTGTTCTAAAAGAGATATCAGTTAAGTTTTTATTTAAGCTTAGACTTCCCAGTTTGGGGGAGAGGGGTGGAATCTGCAAGAATCTACAATATCTGCAATGTTCTGAACATCTCACAGTAAAGTTGCATTTCAATGACGAATAAATAAATCATATCCTTTTTTATTGCCTTGTCCTTCCATCCCTCACGCCCCCCCCCCCAAGCAGAACAGTCTAGAACCTGCTGAGTGCAGATAATGCACATAGCAGAATGTTCTGGAGGAAAAGCAAGGCGCGGTTCTGCCACACGGGGTTATTCAGCCGAATAAGGGGCGGCGGCTTTGTGCTGGTTGCTCACTGCCTTTCTTATGACACAATGTTAAGTTGATGATCGCCAGACACCATTGTCTGTGTTTTTAACATTTCAGAGGATGGGAACTCAATTCTTCTGCCATCTGGGAGCGCTGTTATCTTGAATCCCCCCCCAATTCCAGACTGCTATTTTTGTCTCGGTTACCCTGGAAACTAAGGGGATGCAACCGCCTCCGGCTTTGAGAGATGATTTCATTTCCACATCTGGTCCACTGGTTCCCTCATGTTGGTCCCAATTATGATCTACAATTAACCCCTGAGATCTTTCTGTTCCTGCAGTTTCACAGTCCAGAGACACATTGCACGACACAGTTACTTAGTGGAGGCTGAGGCACATCTGTCAACATCTGGTTTCATGGTTTATTTAATTTTTTTTAATTCTGTAGATTCTTCTTCAATATATTGATCAACACGTGTGTTTACCTGGTGGAAGTGAAGAGCTGAGAAGCATTTGTGGTATTTTGCCTTGGCGTTAAGTTACTTAAAACACTTGAAATCAATATCAGGAAACTCACAGTCCTCATTCCAGAAGCTGCAGGCATCAGGTGAAGTTTGCAATGGGTGCTAATTACACTTGCTGACATTTTAAAGAAAGTATTTGGTTCAAATGGAATAGTGCCAGTTGTGCGTAAAGAGCCAAATCCTTCATTGTCTGCAGTGAACAACAGTGTCTGATCAGAGATGAAAATGATTAGATATTACAAACCAATATAATATTCCAGGGTGTGATTCAGCTAAAAAAAATGAATTTGCAACCAAGCTCATGGATGCTCTGTTGTCCTGTATCCAGCCAACTTTTAACTATCCCATTCAGTACAGTATAGTAAACCTATCAACTTCAGTACAGTACAGTAACCCTAACCATTTAAGTACAGCAGAGTAACCTTAGCCCATTCAGTACTATACAGCAGAATTAACCAATTCAATATAGTAGAGTAACCCAAATCACTTCAGCTCAGTACAGTAACCTTAACCAATTCAGTACAGTAGAGTAACCCTAGACCATTCGATGCATTTTTATCATTATCATTATTACTGGGTGCCATTAAGTCGTTATGTCAGCCCCTGGTGAAGTGGGGTGTGTCTGGCTCTGTGAGTTAGGGCTCTGTGCCCATGACCATAAGGTTGCTGCTTCGAATCCTGGGGTTGGAAGAGTGATGCCACCCTTGGGCCCCTGAGTAAGGCCCTTAATCCCCAGTTGCTCCAGGGACTGGTTGTCCCAGCTTTTACAACAAAATGGTTGCTACTTCAGATAAAAAGCAATCTAATTGTCTGAGAACCGGCAAACCTCACAATCACAGTGGTGGGAGGATCTGAACCCTCAACCGTGGAGACTGCCAAGCCACCAGCTACTGTGCCACCTTGTTTCCATGCTATTGCAACATGATGTCATATTAATGCTTTGGAATGTCATCCAGAAAAGTGCCTGTCGTTTTGGTTTCCTTTCTCTATAGTCTATTTTTCACTCTGTTAAATGTCCTCAAATTAGATCTGTAATTTACAGATGGTCATCTGCTTTCACACATTTTTTGAGTATCTAATGGGTCTGACAGATTCAGGGCCCGAATCTGTACAGCGGGGACGTCTGACACCCCCTGGGTGCAGGGATGTGTCCTGACACATTCGTGTGCCATCGCAGCTGTTATCACACCAGATCTCCAGAGTAACTGTGAAAGCTTCCTGAAATCTCGCTCTGAGCTGCGGCAGCAGCAGTCATTTAGTGTGTGCTGGGTTTGGCTCAACCCACCTCA